GTTTCTGTCTTCCCCCCACTTCCCATATTTCTTCATATTTTCTGGGGGGTCGACGATGAATTGTGTCTGTGTTTTTTCTCTCGTGACCCGAGGCGCTAGAGACAACATCAAAACGCAAACGCGACACGTCTTCAGCGCCATACTTCCCCGCGGCCTCTCGCGCGAGCTTCCTCCGGGCCCCCTCCCGCAAGTGAATGTCGAGGAGGGGCGGCGGGGGGGGGGGCTCAGCGTTGAGGTCACTAAGGGGACAAAAAGAGGGGGGGGAGGAATGCCAAACGTTGAGGGGGGGCGGGGGGGGGGGGGGGGGGATGCTCAACGCTGAGGTCGCTAACCATAACAAAGAGAGACGGCATCCGGCATGCTCCATCAGATCCCGGCCGAGAAAAGTTTCGTGGCCCACGGGGGCCCTCCGACGGCGCGCTGGGCTCCGCCCAGAGGCCCCGTGCCAGAGATCGCGGAGCTCAGCCCGGGACAAACAGAAATCCGCGGCGCGCGCGCCCGGTTCACGCCCCCCTGGCCCATCTGATCGCGGGCGCGACGGCCCCCCGCCAAGGTAGATCGCCTTCGGGCCTGCTGGGTATAATCGAACTACGGCCCCCAGCAGCAGGCGCGGCAGCGCGCAGGCGTCTATGCTTGAGGAGCTCCCCGTCGCTGACCCCGTGAATCTCCGCCACGACGGTAGCCCCCGCCAATGATCCCGCGGCGAGAAAGTCTGACAGCCATTTGTCCTAAAACCCCTCTCTGTCGGACCAGTATACCAGCTCGCCGCGTCGCCTTGCGCAGGCGGGCCCTCGCCTTGCCGTTGCGCCCGCGAACTCGCCTAGCTCCGCCAGATGTGCCATCGACCCCGGAGTTGACGATGGACTCGGACTCAACTCCTCCAAGCCACCCTTCGTTCCTGCAGTTGTCTGGAGACGTCCTTGGACGGAGAAACAAGCCCAACCTTGTCCATCGCAACCTTGGCTTGCAAAACAACCCCGAGGATTTCCTCTAGACGTTCCGCCGCTTCGGTCACTCCCTTGGCGATCTGACGAGGGGGCCCGACGGCGTCAAGACTCGCATCGTCGCTATAGGCGTCATAGGTGGGCCCCCCTAGGGAGCTCGAGCTCGCGGCAAAACTGCAACCCGCGATGGCTCCAGGACGAGCATGTATTGGGGTAGCAACAACACCAGCCATAATCAAAAAGCGGGCGGACCTATACCCAGCGAGACACAAAGCCGCGACGGCGCTGGGCAGCCCATGATGCGCACATCTAAGAGCGAGGAGGTCAAACGGAATGCGCTCGCAACACCTCGCGAAGCCCCACAGAAGCGCACTGTCGCGGCCAGCCTGGGATCGAGAACGCCCCGAGCGTGCCGCCCGGCGCCGGACGACATCACAGGCCGATGCACGTTGTCCCGCCGCCCAATAACTGCTCGGACGTTTAGTCCCCCAAGCCGCGGCGCACCCCAACCCCCCCGCATTTCCCCCGAAGACGACAGAGACTGGCAGAGACAACCAATGGGCCTGAAACCAGAAATGGGCTTCGGCAGGAGAGCAATAACGAACGCTTGGAGCTGCGTGGGCAAAGGGCCCGCCACATCCATCAAAACTAGAAACCGCGAAAGCGCGCAGGGCTCCAACGGAGAGGGCCGAGAACTGCCGAAAATGAGAACCGCCCCGCTCGACCGCCGACCCATGGGCAAACGTTTTGGGGAACCTTCTAATGACGTCGATGGAGAGGGGAGGGAGGGGGGCGTTATCCCCCCCTGCCTGACGCATTGGAACGGGGGGGGGGCCTCCCGCAGATCGCGGGCGCTGCTGGCCTCGACGGTCAAAGGCGACTGCGGGTCGGACGCCGCGCGCCCATCCGAGCTCGAAGTGGCGCCGGGCTTCCATCCGTGTGGATCCGCGGTGCAAGCATGAACCCTCCTTCCTCCCCGATGAACGTCCTCCGTGAGCCGGCCGGCCCCATCCTTCCGAGCTCGGTGGGTGGAAAAAGGCAGCCCGCAGAGCGGCGAAATCCATCCCTTTCTCACTGCCGAGCGCTACCTGGCCCTGCATGCGCCCCCGAGAATCATCGGAGTTCGGGGGGGGGGGGGGCGAAATAAATCAACGGCCAAGATTCTCGCGTCCGAAAGCGCGTCTACCATCCCAAGGAACGCGTCGTCGAGCTCACGCAAGCCAGGAGGGGGGGGGGGGGGGCCTTCGCCGTGTCCCGAGCCCGAGGCCAGTCGCCGCCTAGGGGGCAGGTGTGCACGCGCTTCGCGGAAGAAGCGAACCATCTGCAGGCGTGGAGTGCGGGGCATCTAGCACTGCCATGGTCCTTGCCCAGGGTCGGCCTCCAGCGGGCGATAGGCACCTTCCCCCCCGCGCCGCAAACGGGAAGTTTGACCCCGGAAGTCCCGGCAAGTTCGCGCTCCGCAGGCCCAGCCCATGATGCGCGGGCTTCCCTGAAGAGCTTCGCTATCATCGCTCTGTCGCCCCCCCCCCCGCTCGCGGAAAAGCGGCGCCCAGCTGCGCCTCGACCCCGGGGGGTCCACGCGCTCGGGCCGAGGCGACGGGGCGCAAGATGGCGCGGCTTCGCCAGGCCCGCGAGGGAAAAAATGATCTGCACAAGCACGCGGGGGATGAAACCAGACACGTCAATCGCCAGAACTTCCGAAACGCCCTTCGAGAGGCCCGAGGAGACAACCAACTAGTCGTAGGTCTGGCCAGATCAAGCGCGGCAAACGCGCCCAGCTGGTTCAACAACTTGGCCCACAGGCGCCCCGGCGAACTTCGATGCCGCGAGGCTCCGTGGTTCCATGTTCCACTCTCCGCCACCTAGAAGTGGCTTCCCACGCGCGGGCCCCACGCCCCCCACCGCCGACAGGACATCAAAATTAGCATCGGACAGGCCCTCGGAGTCCTGAAGATACAGCGAGCACACCTGCAAAGCTACTTTTCCCGGTGCATGCACAACGGCCGAGATCGCTCGGCGGGGGCGATCTCGGCGCCCGTGGGGGGGGGGATGGGGCCCCGGAGAGGGCCGACACAAGATCAAACTCCCGCAGACGGGCCGTCTCCTGGCCCAGCGGAATCCAGGGGGCCCTGAAGCCCCGATTCAGACCGACAAGAAATCCTGATCCAAGGCTACCGAAGCGAGTAGCGAATGCTCCTGCTGGATGAGAACGACTTCGGCCAAGACGCTGGGCAACCACTCCATCGCCAAACCCCGAAAGTTGCCGTTGACCGACACGGCCCGAAGACGGAGCGATTCGGCCTCTGGGGGCGGCGGCGCGGAGAAAGGCCACTGCAGCTGGGCTCTCGAGTCCCCGCCAGGAGGCAAAACGTCCTGTCTGGCCGTTCTGAACTACCATAGCATCGAAGTGAATCGAGGGAAACGAGACACGAGAGGGGTGGCAGTGGCAGCCGGCCTATCTGCACCCCCTATGGAACAAAAGCTTTGGCTCTGGCTCACTCAGCGATCATGAAAGCCCCCCCCTCCCAGAGGCTGCCTGGGCGCCCTCGGGTGGAGCTGGATTGCGCCGCCCTTCGTCTCCAGCCCGATTGCCTGGAACCTGCTCGACCTTCTCGGACTGCTGGACACGCCGCGCAGCGCGAGCTTCCTGTTCACGAACTTTGCTGCTCGACGGCGCGGCGGGGGCGGGCTCTGGCGAGCCGCCGCCTCCTTAAGCAGCAGCGCTGGCTGCCGCTGGGGAGGGAGGTCCGCCCCCGTCGCCGCCCGCGGTGACCCTTCCCGAGGGGCCGCGGCGCCGCTTGCCAGCCATGAGCTGGAGGTAGCTGTCGTGTTCCTTCCTGGCCTTGTTGGCGCGGTAGATGGCCTGCGCAAGGAGGGCCTTAGCTGCCCTGCCGATGCGTTCCTTGGAGTCCGCCCTGCGACGCTCGACTTCGGCAATGTCCGCCTCGTAGACGCCGTCAATGTCCACTGAGAACAAGCCACGGTCGTCGATCGCGATGTTGGCAACCTTCCCGTCGACGAGGTCCTGCAACGACAGCGCTGGGCCTTTGGCGGGCGCCTCCTTGTCCTCCGGGACCACGGCCGTGCGAAGCTTCGCCACCGCCTGTCGGTGTTCCCCCACCATGGTTTGGCTCTGCGTGGACAGGTCGTGGACGAGCACCTCCTGGGCATGAACGCCCTCCTGCCACCGCGCGAGCTTCGGCAGCTCCTGCTTGAGGCGCTGGTCCAGCCTCTTGGTGCGGTGATGCAGGTCAGAAACTTGGTCCTGGAGGGCCTTGGGCGGTGGTTTCGCTGCCTCTGCCAGCTGATCCAACTTGGCCTGGTGGCGAGCTGCGGCCGCGTCGTCACCCATGCGCTTGGAAAGCGAGGCGAGCATCTGCAGTTCCTTGGCGCCCAGGGGGGCCGTCGGCCGATCCAGTAGGCGCTCCTCCAGCGGGCGTTCGTCCTGGCACTTGCGGGCCAGCAGGGAGGACGGCCGACTCTCCAGGCGGGTGATACCCAGGAACGCGAGGCAAACCCTGCTGATGAGCCCGAACACCACCAGGAGCGCGAAGGTCGCCAGTGGCAGGCGCTTGGCGCGCGGCGCCACGGCGCTTGCAGCACCAGCGCCATACACTCGTCTTGCCGCAGCCGCAGGCCACACACTTCCACCGATCGCAGTGTGCATGATCCTGTTTGGTGTTTTTGCCCTGGCCGTGCCAGGAATATGTAGTGTCGTACCCTTGCCCCCTGCTTCGCCATGCGTTGCCTGAAGAGCGCCAGGGCGGAGAGCTGCCCCCGCCGCTGCCGCCCGCCGTCATGGGACATGGGAACTGGAGAAACAATGAACAGATCGAAACCCAAACGTCTTGACCCGCGAATACCGTGCCGTTCTGAAGGTTAGCATCCGCAAGCGCAGCACCTGCGCCAAAACGGCTGGGAGGGGAGGGGGAGGAGGAGGAGGAGGAGGAGGACGAGGAGGAGGAGGAGGAGGAGAAGGAGGAGGAGGAGGAGGAGGAGGAAAGGGAGGAGGAGGAGGAACAGGAGCAGGAGCAGGAACCCGCCCCCACCCCTTTCCAGGAAGTCGGCGCAGGCACTGCACGCAGCCGAGGCCGCCCTGCCCGTCTTCTCCACGGCCCTGCGGGGGCGGGTGGACCACCCCCCGTGGGCGGCGGCGGCCACGGCGGGGCCCCTCGGCGCCGCGCCCGGTAGGACGAGGCCTTGCCGAGGCTACGCGCGCTGACGCGTGCCCTCTCCGACGGGGCCATCCAATTCAGTCCCTCCGTTTCATTCCCTGCTCCTCCTCCTCCTCCTCCTCCACCTCCTCCTCTTCCGGTTCCTCCTCGACTCGTCCACCTCCACCCCCCCAGAGATCCGAGGCCCCGAAGATATTGGAGCGGCCGGTGTGGGGCGATTGTCGGCCTCCAGGGAAGCTCAATGAGCCCCGAGACCGTAAGGAAACGACTCGGGGCGAAAAACGGGCCGTATGGTTAGGTCGGGCCTGTCCCCCTACAGGGGGATTTTCCACGGAAAATAAAAACAATCCGCAAAAATGCTCCAAAATGGCAAACAAATACTCAAAAAATAGTCTCTGGACTATTTTTTGATTATTGTTGAATATTCCCCTGTAGAGGGACAGGCCCGACTTTACCCTAGGGAACGTGTCCAGGCCTCCAGGGGTGCCCGCATCGAAAAATCCGGAGCGCCAGATGTCTGGGGCCTCCTGCTCTCGTTACGCCCCTCTCCTCCTTCCGCTCTTCTCCTCTCCCCCTCGCCGCCACCGCTCCCCTCTCATCCGCCTCTTTTCCCTCCTCTTCCTCCTCCTCCTCCTCCCCCTCCCCCTCCTCTTCCTCCTCCTCCTCCCCGTCATCCTCCTCTGTCTCATTTATCTTTCTACACATCCCACCTCCTCCTCCTCCTCCTCCTCCTCCTCCTCCTCCTCCTTTTCATTATCTGATTCCTGCCCCTCATTCTCCTCCTCCTCCTCCTCCTCCTCCTCCCTTTTCCTCCTCTTCCCTATTCCTCCTCTCCCCTTTTCCTCCTCCTCCTTTTCCTCCTCCTCCCCTCCTCTGCTCCTCCTTTTCCTTCTCGTCCTCCTCCTCATCCTGCTCCTGCTCCTGTTCCTCCTCCCCCTCCTCTTTCTCTCCCCCTCCCTCCTCTTCCTCCTCATCCTCTCCTCCTCCTCCTCCTCCTCCTCCTCTCCCTCCGTCTCCTCCTCCTCCTCGTCATCATATACCAACATCAGCATCATCGTCATCGCCATCGTCATAATCATCAGCATTCCACCATCAACACAACAACATCAGCAGCATCATCATCGTCATCATCATCAGCATCGTCATCGTCATCATCACCATCACCATCATTATCAGCATCAACACCCGCATCATCATCAGCGTCGCCATCATATTCATATGCATTACCACCAGCAGCAGCATCGCCATCACCACCACCATCCTCAACAGCAGCAGTATCAGCATCAGCACCAGCAGTATCATCATCGTAGTAATAACCAGCGTGCTGAAGCCAACCAATCCCTGCCAGGCCCAGCTGACGGCACGTGGAGTCCCCCAAAGGGCCTGAGGCTTTGGGCGCTTGGGTTTTTTCTTTCACTGCGAGGAAGCGTGAGGCAGGAGGCAGAGGCCGCCCAGCCAGCGTCAAGGAGAATAGAACTGTCAGCGACGCGTTGAGAACCTGCCCTGCCACGCAGGAGTAGGAAAGGAATAAGAGAGAGAGAGAGAGAGAGAGAGAAAAAGAGAGAGAAGAGGGAGGCAAGAGCTTGAGCCGTAAAAGTACGGCAGAGAACAGACAATGCAAGCATCCCGTCATGACTAGTCCTAGCTTGCTGAACTCAACCAATCTCTGACAGGCCCAGCTGAACGCACGTGGAGTCTCCCAAAGGGCCTGAGGCTCTGGGCGCTTCAACTTTTTCCTTCAATGCGAGGAAGCGCGAGGCAGGAGGCAGAGGCCACCCAACCAGCGTCAAGGAGCATAAAACTGTCAGCGGTTCTTTGAAAGCATGTCCACACCCGCAGAAGAGAACTGGCCGCCAGGCCGCATCACTCTTGAAATCGATCACACAGAACAGAAGCTCGAGCATGGTCGAATGCAGAGTCAAGACTGACGCGAGCGAGCGGCACAGGGCAAGCGGGCACGCACAAGCAATGGTGGCCCAATGGCGGTGGCTGGCGGGGCCCCGGCCCACAAGCTCGATGCGGGGACAGCCAGCGCGCGTGAACTTACCTGCAATGGTCTGACTTCGGCGAGCCAACATCTCGCATTCTGCCCCATACGTGCCAGTAAGCAATCCTGGTCGGTTTACGCCAAAGCATACCGCACTGGCAATAGTGTAGTACGATCTCTATGCAAGAATCAGGTGAGAGCAGTTTCTGACGAGCTGGCGCATGCCACGAAACAGAAGAATGTGGCTTCTCAGTGGCGGCAGGGCAACTGTGCTGAATGCAAAGGCGAACGATAATCACAGTGAAGTCGAGCAACTGGTTTCCAGTCTGCACCGCCGCCTCGTCTTTCTTCGAGGGGCCAGGCAGTCCTAAGGGGAAGGTGAAAGAACGGAGAGGTGGGCGGCGGGCAGCTGAGAACTTGGCGCAGGGCGTCGCCAGCCAGACCGAGCACACGGCCATGGCTAGGATCCAGCCCCGCACGCGGCGCACAAGCACAGGAGACATGTGATTCTCGGCGGCATGCTGGGCAATGTCAAGGCCGAGGGCGCTGCGCTATCGTTTTCTTAGTTGTCGGTGAGAGCACTGCTGCCGCAGAAAAGCCCCAGGAACACACGGCGGCGAAAGTGCTCGCCGCGCAAGACGGCGCGGTGACAGACTTGAAAAATATTGCGCTCCATCTCCCTAGGACTTGCCTTCGAAGGGGAGCCGCGCAGGCGGGCCGCAGGAGGCGCTGCAGGTCGGTCGGGACCTGGGGCCACAGCCCGTGGCCGGCCAGCCCCTTCTAGACAAGCATAGCGAAGTTGCGCTCCACCAGTCCCCCGAAGATCAGCGTGTGCTGTGGCACCTGGTTCAGCTGCGTAAGTACTGCGGTCTCCTTGCCGCATCGCTTGAGGGGCTGGGGGCGCGCCCGCCCCCCCCCCTCCCCCCCCGCCTCTGAGCGGCCTCGACCGACCTCCGCTTTCGAAGGAGGTCCTCGGAGGCCCCTCCGCGGCGAAGCGAGTAGAGGTGGGGGCCCATGGGGCCCGGGCCGAGGAGGCTGCAGGCCCTCTAGAACGCCCGCCCCAGCTCCGCGGCGGCTAGCGGCCGCGGGGACGAGTCGGGCGGCGTCACCAGCTGCGGCGCGGCGATGACCGGCCCCGGCCAGTCGTCCAGGTCCAGCAAGACGGACTCGCCCCAGTTGCCCGTCTGGCCTGGCTGTCCGGCGACGGCGCCCGCAAGCAGCAGGCCCCAATCCTGGAACTGCGGCCCCGCTGCAGGAATGCTGGCGACGAGGTGGCGCACGAGCAGACGGAAGCGCTCCATCGGACTCGGGCAGCGCGCGAAGGCGAAGCATATCCAGACGCTCATCCGCGCACGGCCTCGCACAACAGCAGCCCGGCCGCGGCCGGCGCGGCGGCGCGGGCAAGCGGCAGCCTCTGGTGGCCTGGGACTCGGCGAGCCCAAGCCTGTGCACAGCGGCTCGCCCGAGGCAGCTGAACCTCCCCCTGCTTGCCGACCGGGGGGTAGAAGTGCGAGACAGCTGCCGGTCGGCGGCTGCCGTCGGCGCCCAGGCGGCCCTCGAAGTACAAGTATGGCGCTCCGCTAGCGCCGCGCCAAAGCCCTGGAGGTCGGCCCAGGCCGACCCCTGCGACTGGCAGAACTGGGTGAAGTCCGCCAGCAGGTTGCGGCACTGCCTCTCGGTGGCAAGCTTCACGGCGAGATATCCAGCACCGAAAGAGGGCCCAAAGCGGGCCGGCAGGTGGCAGTGTCGCGAGCCCTCGTCGCCCGCTCGGCTTGCGTCTGCGCGGCGATCGGGCGACAGCCTTTTCGAGCCTTGAACGGCGCCATCTCTAGGATCGTGGAGATCTGCTTAATAGGAAAGGATGATGCAAGTGTAGAAGGGCGAGCCAAGCGCGCCCGAGCGACCAGAGAGCAGTGCACGGAAGGCCTGGCGGGGCGCTTCGAAGGACTACTGAACCAGCCCAACTTGCCGCGGGGCCCCTCTGGCGGGTTGAACTCGGAGGGGCGCCGTCTCATAGCAACGCGGGGGCCAGTTGCCAGAGCGAGACTGCAAACGTTACGGAGGGCAGGGCGTAGATGCACTGACTTGGCCCGATAATTTCAGAGCCCAAGACCAAGCGTTAGGCTGCCCAACATGAGAACTATTGCAGCCCCAAGATTCGAAGACGCACGAAGTGCATGACGGACGGCTAGAACGGCAACATCACCCTCAAGCCCCAATAGATCGCCAGGAACAACCACTTGAGAAGCCATAGAAGCATCCCACTTGGAGGCCCCCAGGAGCTCCTCGGGCACCTCCCCGAAGACAGCCGACTTGACCTTCATGTCACCCAGGCCAGCGTTCGAATCGCGCACGCGCGCGGGCGCGTGCTCGGCGGACTCGGCGAGGCCAGCGGAACATGGCAAAGGATGTGGCCCCAAAGCGGACTGGGGCGCCGTTTCGGCGCCAGCGACGCGATAGCGCCAGCGTTCGCTGCGCTGGCCAACCCCCCGGCGGACGACGAAGAAACTCGACGCTGGCAGGCGGCGAGCCCGAAAGGCGAAGCATCGCTGCAGCGCGCTGTCGGCGACCACTGAGCTCGCAAATCCACGCGGCACAAAGGCATCAGGTTGCGCGCGCGCCAGAGCTCTTGCCGAACACGAGGCCAAAGAGGGCGATGGTTCTTGGATTCGATGTTCCCATTCACGAACGCATGGTAATCGTCGAGCAGGCGCAGGCTCTCTCGGCGCAAGATGGCCCAGACGACATGGCCCAATATGCACTGCATCATCTTGCCAGTAGCCCTTCCCCGACGAAGGAGAGCATCAATCCCTGGCCTCAGCCCCCAGATACTTCTTTTCTTCAAGCTAACGAAACGCCCACTCGACAGAGCAAGCCCCGCAGAGCCCATACCTCTTGACGCCTCCGAGAGTACATGTGCGACGAGACCCTCCCCCTGAAGATCGGCGACAATGGCCCGGTCGGCCCGGTTCGCGGCGTCCTCGCGCGGCGAGAAGATGAATCAGTTATCGACGTGGGCGGCGGCGGCAAAAGCGGTGGGTGCGTTTAGCTTGGGTGGTATCTGACCGCCCTCAATCGCCCGGTTATCCTGGACCCCGACATCGCGACGCGCGCCCAGCTGCAGCCCATCGGCAAAACGACTAAGCGCGGCGAGACGGGGGCGCCAGCTGCGAGCACCTCCCCATCGCTCTCACGGACCCCAACCACGTCGCAGGAGATTGCCGGGATACTAAATTACTTTGCGAGGCCCTCAGGGACTTTGAGGAGATAAAACGCACAACATAAATCTCCACAGGCGGCAAAGGTGCCCTCGGACCCAATTTCAAATTCCGAGAAGGCCGACGGCGCGGGCAGCCGAGTCGAGGCCGCTTCAGAAAAGTGGCAGTTACAGACACGGGTGCCAAAAATAATGCGAAGTTGGCCGTTACGCTTCGCATCAAAACACACGCGCACACACGCACGCGCACACACACACAATCACGCACGCACACACACACACACACACACACACACACTCTCTCTCTCTCTCTCTCTCTCTCTCTCTCTCTCTCTCTCTCTCTCTCTCTCTCTCCACTAATACCAGACTGGGGGGGTCTCGCGACGCCGAGACAACATCCCACGCTGGTGGAGCTGAAGCAGGAAGTCTTGATAGCGAGCAGGAGAACGCGAGGCAGGATCAACATAAGGACCACTCAGACCGAGTGAGTGGCGCTGCTTCTCTGCTGCACCAGCTGGCAAAAACAAATTTCCACGCCGAGACCTTAGCCATCCACGATCGATCGACGACAGACACGATTCCGCGGGCGCGGGTCCAGATCCGATCTCCGGCCATGCCGCGAGGTGGCGTGCATGAGACCTGCGGGTGGAGCTGCCAGGATAGGTAGCCGACCCAGCAACAAGCTCGCGGAGGGCCCCGTTGCTACCCGAATCGGCCGGCTGGGCACCCACCTGCCTGAAACAGTCGAGAACGTGCTGGCGCGCGAAGCGCTGATATGAAATGAGAAAGGGCGAGGCGAGGCCAGGAAGACTATCACAGGAGGCTTGCGGGTACCCGTACAGATGGTTCAAACTGCGGATGGCCCCATCCGTCCAGTCGATCATGCGCGCGCGGCGGTTCACCCTCAGCGTAACTGAGCGACTCGCATCAGGCGCGCAAGCGGCCGGCGAGCGACGATCGAACGGCGGCAGCGAAAACGCATCTCTCTCTTTCGGCCGACCCTCGGCGGCCCAACCTGAAAGGAAGAAAATAAAATGGATGGGGTAGGGGAGGCACTGAGCCACTCCCGAGAATGCAGTCCAGGGCACCCCCTCCGATGCCCCTGGCCGCGCTCAGGATCATGCGACATCTTTATTATCGCCCTTGTGGGCCGCTTCTTGTTCTTCTCTAGATTTCCGGCGCTCCTTGGGCAAGGCGTGCTCGCGCGAGAGCTCTTTCGCCACCCGCTCCGTGAGCTCGGGGCACGCGCGTCCCAGCCGGATGATATACGCTCCGCAGTACTGGTGGGAGTCGCGCTCGCGCCACCGCTCCTCCTGCACCTGCAGCGAGCGAGCCAGGTTTTCAGCGGTGGCGCTGTTGGGGAGGTTGATCTGGTCGTAGCATGCCATCGTCTCGAGCAGTCGGCAGCAGCGCTCGTGCGCTGACACCAAGGGGTCCTGTGACTGGAGCTTCGCATCGTGCTTCCAGCGGGCGTGCCGTCCTGTCGGCGAGCCTCCATTCAGCGCGATGTACCGGCAGACCCAAAAGCACGAGCGAGGGCCCTTGATAGGCCAGTCCGCGAACAAGTCTTCACGGAACGACTGCACCGCCCGATCGAACGGCAGCAGCCTGTCGCCGAGCAGATCGCACTGCACCGGCAGGACGCGGAGGTCGAAGTAACCGATGCCAGCAGCGCCGGCCGGGGCGGCCGCCCCAAGCGCACCGCCCGCTCCCGGCGCCGCCAGGGCGGCGGGCGCGGCGGCAGCAGGGGGGGGGCAGCAGCACCCCCTGCGGCGCCAAGTGGGGCGGCCAGCGCGCCCGCGCCCACTCCGCCGCCGTCCGCGGCGGCAGGCGCGGGGGGCGGAGCAGCCACCACCGGGCCGGCGGCCGCAGCAAGGATGCCAGCCGGAGGGGCGGGGCCGCCACCTCCGAGAGCTGCCACCAGGCCGCCAAGCCCCGCCGCTGGTAAGAGCGCCCCAGCTCCGCCCACAGCGCCGCCAGGTGCTCCAGCACCAGCAGCAGCAGCAGCGCCCAGCCCACCGGCAGCGCCTCCCGCAGCGGGGGCCGCGGCCACTGCGGGGGCCCCCGCAAGCGCAGCGCGCCCGCCAACGTTGGGCACGAGCTGCCCAGGCGGCGGCGCTGCCCCGTGGCGCCCACAGGCCGCGGCGCGGGCGGCCGTCGCGGTCGCCGGCGTAGGGGCCGCTCGGAACTTGTAGAGCGGGTCGGCCCCCACTCCAAGAAGCGCAGCCCCAGCACCGCCGACTGCTCCCACTCGAACTTCAACCATGTCGGGAC